CATAGGAAAAATACCCTCCCCCCGTGTTACAAATGGCGGCCCGAGACCATTAGTTGTTTTTTTACTAGTTAAAACAAGATCATTTATTTTCTTTACTCCGATGAGTTTAAAAAAAATCATGGTTCTTTTCTCGTCTACTGCATTACGTACAAGTGATACAAATGATATTGACTTTTAAACACTACCATAAAATATAGGATTTCCAGGTAGAAACTGTGCCCGATACAACCTTCTTCAGGAGGAATTTTGAAATAACATATAACTGATGATAATTTGTCATTTCTTAATAAGTATTGTTAAAAATATCTAGATATGTGTGTTAGTTTTCAAACATAACACTGGTTTTTTTTTGGTTTTTTTTTTGCATAACGGAAAAACTATTGTTGGCCCGGGGAAAGAAAATATGTTCAAGAGAATTTTTCCGCATATCGTATTTTCTTTTTTTCTATGTCTCGCACACGTATCGTCGAAAAGGTGGCATGTCACAAGACGAACGCTTCAGCTTACCTGCATGTGAACCCATGTTCCTGAAGGCAGAGTTCCATGCACTCTCGACGAGATCCGACCCGTCGTCTGTGACGTATGTACGTCCTCAGCTCGTGACCTCGCACGACTTCGAATACCCATGGCCTGGCGCACGGGGCTCGGATGCACGTCTTTTGGGCGAATATAGTGAAGACGGGGAACTGCGACTTCGTGAGGGAACCTGCAACAAGACGCCACTAATCTCTGAGCGACGCAAGCGCATGATTATCGTCAGTCCAGTTATGGATGATGGCTACGAATACATTGAATTATAAGTCGAGGACAACAGACAGATTGTTGCCCTCTAGCTTGAGACTGGGCGCAGGCTTAACAACTGCTTATCTAAAACAACGTGTTGACGAAATTTACACAGGGCCTTATAAAGAGTGATCGAAGAGTCACCCATCCCTAACACACATATTTGTCAAAAAATAAATTACATTGAAACCAAAAAAAGTGTTGTTATTCAGTGTTGAAAATGTCCACCACGTTCAGCGATGCATGCATTTACACTTTTCCTCATGTTTAATGCAATACGGAGAAAAGTTTCTGCAGAGGCTGAAACTGCTCGGCAGACGAGATATTGTCGAGATTCGAGAAATGTATCCATAAACTAATTCTGAAAAGGTTAGTAACAACGAGAAGCCATGTAAGATTTGGGATTTTCACAGCGGGGAGTCTGAAGATGGCTGTCTCCTGGGTTGTTGAGCCGTGTAGTCTGGTAGAAGTTTAGCGACGTTTCAGAGGTCCTTCGTTATCAGGGCAATCGTTCCATCCTCTCAGTTCATATCCAGCCACTTCACTGTTTAATATACTACGCCTACATGGCAAAAATGAAGGCATATTTACATAAAGGAGACATAACGGTTCATATAGGCATCTCGGAATCTGTGACAGTGGTGTTAACGTAAGCACCACGCCATGATGCCGTATGGTGAAGTGCAGTGTTGTGCAACCTTTCTACACTAAAGCATTGATTGGCCGCGACCCCAACCGAAAAATGTTCTATTTCATGTTTATAACTATCCATATTTATTATTATGTAATTTATTTTAAATATATTAATTATTTTAAATAAATTAAAATATAATATTTCCTATCGTTTCAGCCAGAAATTATTAACTATGCTTAAACATTTAATCTTAAAGATACTTATTTATATGTGTACATGTAGATTGCAAAAAAATTGTGGTAATAAAAGTAAAGGGCAGGTAAACGTGTTTTGATGCAAAGTGGTTTTGTTATTTTCCAATTCCATTAGTAGATCTTGTCTGTCCTCAGTCTGCCCGATCATAATAAAGAAAATGAAAAGTGAGACAGAGCAGAAAACAAGATTAACAATTATTTATCTAATTATGGTTATAATTATAATGTGAGGTGAAAATTTCGTGGCGCACCTAGATGGCCTCCGCGGAACACCGGTTGTGCATCACTGGTGTAGTGGAAGAAAACTACCAAACATTCTTAATCTCTGCACTAGATGGAGATGAGTGTTTAGCTCCACGCGCCTACAGATTCATCTCAGAGGAAATTACCAGAAACTGCAAAAACAAGGGATCACTGGATAACAACGAGTACAAAATCTCTGCTGCAAAACCTGAAGGGAAAGACCACTCGCTCAAGTGAATATTGGAAGACGTGTTTTATGAAGGCACTGACTGGATTGGATTCATATGGCTAATGGCGAGGTTTCACAAATACGGGAATTAACCTTTAAGTTTCATAAAATGCGGAGAATTTAACCAGATGAATGACTGCAGCTTCTCATGCTGGACTCTGCTCTATTGAGTTAGTTCAGTTTAGTTAGTTAATTAGTTTACTCTGCTCTGTAACGCAAGTCGGACCATCGGCTCGGTAGCTAGAAAACCTGACGGCGTCTTTCGACGATTCGGTTCTTGAAATGAATTGAACCCCCATCTACGAAGTCCTGTTCTCTAAAAAATCAGTCAGAATATGAATAATTTATCCGCGCGCGTATCTATTGATTGAATATTACTTTTACAGAAATTACCATAAATTCCTCTACGGCATTCGTAAAGATGACAAAATAAATTACATAGGCCTAAGAAAACTCAAAATATTAGTAGATTAATAGAAAGTTCATAATATATAATGAGATTATAGAATCCATATATATATATATATATATATATATATATATATATATATATTTTTCATGTCTCGTAAATATGCATTCCCTCTCTCTTTCTGTATGATGGAAAATTTTTGCGAAGAACTGCAAGTATAATTTGGACCACTTAGGATTAAACAAAATTTAATCTACAGCTGCTACTGTATACACCTACTAGTAAATCTCGCTGTAGTCTGCAGAGAAGTTTTAGAGACGAAAACATGACAGTACATGCTACAAATTGAAGGGCATATTGTGTCTCACCGTCGCTCGTTCGCCATATAAATGAAGCTTTCTACGCCTTCTCAGCTGTAAGCCGCAACACGCAGTGCAGCGTAAATTTCACCATTTAATTACCCCAGACCGAATCTTAATCACTGCATGTGGCGTGGAGAATTAGTTTTCAAGAACGACCCTACACCCAGTTAATTACTGTTTACTAACTTCATGGAACAGAATCATTCTTGAGAAGACAAAACAGTCTCTCAGGTAGTCAAGAAATTTACCGCCTTTTATAGAACTTGAAGGTTCATTACGATGTTCACAAGAACCAGTCGTTGGTCCCTACCCCATACACACCCTCCCGTGTTCTCTTTCCTTCAGCATTTTCACCCTGATGATGGAGACAGTAAACTCATCTGAAACGTAGGTCAGACCACGGTGTAACACTCCAGAAGACAGACAGCCATCTTCATACTCGTCGCAGTGACAACTTAAAATTACACAGACTCCTAAAATAATCCGACTCAAAACAATAGCATAAGCTCATATTCTATCCGAGAAATTTACCAAAAATTGGTTAGGTGCATTAAGCTAGTTCAGTTCATTTGTTTGTTTGTTGATATTATAAAAGTTCTCGCGAGAATTTGTATTTGTCTACTATAATCCCTACTTTACATTAAGATCAAATTAAGCTGCATTATATTTGTTATAAATAACCCTTAGAACAAAACACTTCTGCGTGACATAACTTATATATTCCTTTAAAATGCAAAACGTTCGATCTACACAGACACATTCATCGCACACCTTCAAGTGTTCTTCTTTTATGGGTGGCAAGTCTTGTAATCGAATGATTAGGAACGCAAACCCGTTAACTAGCCGACACACATAAGACGAGAATGGATCAACTCACTTGATAAAACGTGAAGTGGGTGCGTATGTTATGAACTGCCCCTAAAAACAATACCGCTGCAGAGTGCACCTTGTGTAGCACGGACCGCATTTGAACACTAATTCATTGAAAGTTTACTGGAGTTGCTTGCAAGAAATATTTTATTAAAACACACTTCGTCTGTCCATATGAAAACAGATGTTCTCTAGGTGAGTAGTGTTATGGATGCAATTGCCCGTCATGAAGTACGTCGAGGACCCTCGGTT